CTCTGAGCACAACCTCCCACACTCCGTCTTCCCATCTCTGTGCTTCCTTCCTTCTTCCGTGCCCCAATCCACTCTTCCCCGCAGTGGGGCCTAGGGTCCCCACCCACCCCTCACATTCTCTCAGGAAGCACCTCGCAGTGTTGTGGCCCTTCTCACTTTACCACACCTGGACCCTCACAGCACCTCCCAACGGAGAGCCCGCTAGATGATCACTAAGGCTCAACCGCTGGGTTGCAAAGGACAGAACCCACTCAAGTCAGCTGCAGCTGGCAAGGAAATGCATTACCCCACATATCTGGACATAGGGGGAGGGAGTCTCAGCCTAAAATGGGACTCACGTGATGCCCCCAGGCACTGGCACGCTGGCTCACACGAGCTGCAGACTCGTTCCCCTGCAGTGGCTACCACCTCCCACCCAAGTAGAAAGGCCCAGGGCACGACAGTGGCACTGTTTGAGTCAGATGACCACGTGGACCCGTGTCCAGTGCCCAAGTCGTCCTCCGAAGGTTCTGAGCCTGACTGCTCAGCACCCCTGACGGCAGGTGTGCCTGCCTCTCAGCAGCAGGGCCGGGGAACAGGACTCCTCCTTGTACGTTTCTTCGGCCCTCACTTAAGCACACAACAGGCCCTTGCAGAGCTGGAGTTGTGTGGGTCCAGGAGGCTGGTATCAGCCCCTTTTTTTAGCCCAAAGATCAGGTCACAGAGCAACCTGTGAGCCCAGGCTCCACGCTCTGCCAGCGGCCCCCACTGTCCTCCTGGGAAGGAAGCTTGCCCCACCCTCCCACAGTCTCTGCCTTTCTTCAGACCGTGGCTCTTCCCTGTAACCTCATTCTGAGTGGAAACCCCTCCTATGGGCTTGCCCCCTCTGTGCCAGGGAGCACCACTGCGCTTTCAGTCTCTTTACGGTGAGCTCTGAGGCTGGATGGCGGGGGAGTAGGAACCGACTTCAGCTCACAGCTCTCTCTCCCCTCCCGCTCAAGGCCAACGCCACAGGGGGCGGTGGGCATGTGCAGATGGTGCAGCGGGCCATGCAGGATCTGACCTACACCTCCCTGTGCTTCCCCGAGTCCATCAGGGCTCGGGGCATGGACAGCAAGGAAGATATCCCCTACTACTTCTACCGGGACGATGGGCTCCTGGTGTGGGAGGCCATCAAGACGTGAGTGCATGCTGGGGCTGCGGGCACCACTGTCAGCAGGAGCAGTGGTCTGGAGGAGGGGGTTGTGGACATTGATCAGGTGCCTGGACAGCTGACTCAGTGGGCCAGGACCCGGATTCCTGCCTTCTCAGGGCATTGCTGGAGGAAAGGCGGGAGGTTGTTGGGGATGGGGATGGCCTAAATCTGAACTTTAATAGGTTAGGGGTCACCGGTGGGATCCTGCCCTGGGGTGCAGTTCTGTAGTTCCTGGCTGGGTCACCCACTCCTAGCCCCACCCCTCATCCTAAGCCAGGTTCACCACCGAGGTGATAGGCATTTACTATGAGGATGACCAGGTGGTGGAGGAGGACCAGGAGCTGCAGGATTTCGTGAAGGACGTTTACGTGTACGGCATGCGGGGCAAGAAGGCGTCAGGTAGGGACAGCCCAAAGCCCTGCTCCTGGGTCTCTCTTCTGCTCCTCCCTGCATCTCTGCTTTCCTTGGGCATGCTGTCCCTGGGCATCGACCACGGAATGTGATGCTGGGGTCCCCAAGGGAACCCTGCCCATGAAGATACCTCATGCAGACGTCTCGGGGGCTACCTGCAGCCCCTGAGAGCCCACATCTGGAACATTGGGCCAAGCTTCTGCCCCCTCTGTGGGTCTTGTCATTGCATGGGCCCTTCAGCACTTGTTGGGGAAGCCCAGCGACTGGGGTGGGAATGGGGGTGGGTGCCTGGTATCCCTCCATGAATGCCAGGCCTCAGCCAGTCCTTGGATCCACCTCAGGTTTCCCGAAGTCGGTCAAGACCAGAGAGAAGCTGTCGGAGTACTTGACTGTGGTCATCTTCACTGCCTCAGCCCAGCACGCAGCAGTGAACTTCGGCCAGGTGGGCAAGAGCAGGGCAAGCAGGAAATCAAGGGCCACCTTGACCCCAATTGATGGGCCAGGGCCATCCCTCTTCCTAATCTTTCCTTCTGGACTGGGTATTCCCGGCATGGATTCTACCCACTAAGCAGAGGGTGCCAATCAGAGCCCAGCCAGAGTGATTCTGACCGGTCTCCCCGGTTACTGCAAAAGAGGGAAGTGGAGTCGCGGGAAGAAGACTGGTCTGGTCTGGGAGGTGTGGGTATGGGTCACAGTGGCTTGCAGCTGGTTGTGGGGGCACCCACTTCTGTTGGTGGATGTCCCTGCAGTATGACTGGTGCTCCTGGATTCCTAACGCCCCCCCAACCATGAGGGCCCCACCACCAACAGCCAAGGGTGTGGTCACCATTGAACAGATCGTGGACACACTGCCAGACCGTGGTCGCTCCTGTTGGCATCTGGGTGCAGTGTGGGCACTGAGCCAGTTCCAGGACAATGAGGTGAGGGGGAGGATTTCCCACCTGTTCTGGCTGACAGGTTACCCCAGCTTGTGATTCAGGGCTCAGGATGGACACCTGCAGGCTATGAATCCTGACTTCCAAAGCTGGAAGCACCCATGAGGGCCTCAGGCTGAGCCTGGACAGGGTTGGTGGGGGCATGAGCGCACAGCAGTCATCTGTGAAAGCTCCTGAGATGCCCCCTGAGGTATTCTGGTAGGCAGGTTTCCCTTGGGGACCTGGTGAGGTTCTCCACAACTAAATTCAAGATGATGTTTCTCCCATACCTTTCCAGTTCTGGTTGTGAAACTTTCCAATCTTAAAAGTCCAACATGGTTGTTAAGATACGGCTAGTTTTAATATGCATCCATGTGCGAGTGTGCAAAGGAGCACATCACCCCCCAGCACTGTGGCCATCCTGGGTTGGAGAGGTGGCCAGCACTGGTCCCTGTGCCCTGCTGCTTGCAGCCCAAATGGGAAGGTACGAGTGCCCGCCACAGCCAGGGCCACCAATAGCCTCCACATTCACGGCATCACTACAGGTCCTCACAGCCAATGCGCAGCAGGGAAGTTATTTTTCCCATTTATCTGTAAGTCCAGGAGCATTCCCAGAGCACTCAGCAGGCAACAGAGGGTGGAGATGGGAAGATGAGCACATCTTCCTTCTATCACCTTCCAAAGATAGTCTGGAGATACGACAAAGCCTGTCAATTTACATAGCCTCTTTGCAGATTAACCTGTCTGTCTGTTCATGTCTGGGCCCTCAGTTATTCCTGGGCATGTACCCGGAGGAGCATTTCATTGAGAAGCCGGTAAAGGAAGCCATGGCCAGATTCCGCAAGAACCTTGACACCATCGTCAGTGTGATCGCTGAGCGCAACAAGAACAAGAAACTGCCATATTACTACTTGTCCCCAGACCGGATTCCCAACAGTGTGGCCATCTGAGCCAGTCTCACTCCTGGACAGCCAGCTGCCCAAGGCTGGCTCGGACCCACACTCCCACCTGCCTGGGTGGGCAAGCTCATGGTCAGCAGTGGGACAGGCCTCCTGGCAGCTCGCTCCTCCAAGACCCACCAGGATTCCTGGGAATTCTGCCCTCAGGCATCAAGCTAATTGGCTTCAAACCAAGGGCTGCCCCAGGCTGGCCCTGTTACAGCTAAGTTTCAGTGCATTTTTTTGCTTATTCCTAAATCTTCAGTGAATCCCATACTTTGTGATCAAAGTGTGCAAATAAATACTGGAGGGGCGTAGGGCTTCCTGTTCTGTGCCCAGCGCAGCGCTTCCATACCAGGCAGCAACAGTAAATCCGGGTAGCACATAGATGTTTGTTGTTAAAAGATATGGAATTTTCTGTTCTACATGTGCTGCTTCTCCTTTCTTGCACACAGTAGGTATCCAAATAAATCCTTGTTGAATGAGTCAAGAATTGGTTGTCATAAAGGAGTTCATTTCAAATAGGTCTTCCAGTTTGTACCTTCCAACATTCCAGTCACTTCAAGTAGCTTATATGCCATCCTCCCTCCTCAAAAGCTATAATTGCTGATTCCATTTAGACAGAAGTCCCGCATTTGTGGAATAGGCATTTTTCCCTCTTCTTACCCAGAAAGCTTCCACTGTTTCAGAACATGTCCCAAACGTCCTCTCTCTGGGAAAGGATCGTTGCCCAGATAAAGCGAGTTTCCTCCCCAGGATTGTACTCCCTCCTCATCTCTCCTTTGCACCTGCAGCCCTTGGAAGACAGGGAACCCATCTTAAATAAGGCCTTCTGCTCCTTTATATAAGAGCCATTTTCCTCTAGTGAACACCCAAGAGGAGCCCAGGCTTGGCTCCCTAGACTGCTGGGTTCCCAGATCCCTACCTCACACATGTTGTGGGGAACACTGAAGTCACACAGGTGGGGTCTAGAATCTGTTCTCGTTTCAGTTCCAAGAGGCAGCTTGGGAGAGGTAGGGCAGACGCAGGCCTCTCTGATGGCTGAGAAGCTGGGCCCTCAGCATCCACAGCCCTGTTTGCAGCTTGTAGTCTCCAGCCTGGAGGGTTAACAGCACTGCCATTACTCAGGGAATCCGTGGCAGAAGTCAGGAGACATAGCTAGGCAACGCTGTCACATGCATTCTTGCTGTTCCTCTCTGGTTCGCTCTCTCAGCTGGGCTGTGGGTCAGTAGCTCAACAATAAGGCTACATGAGCTCTGACTGCTCCGACGGTCATATCGCCACACACACGTGGAGCTTCCCTGGCTTCTCTCAGGGCCATGAGTCCACATAGAACTGGATGCTTGAAGCAAGTACACCTGTGTAGACACCAATCTTCACCCTCCAGGACTCACACCCTCTCCACTGACCACCAGTGTTTTGGGAGCCATCCTCCTTTGCAGGCACAAACTGAGGAAAACAGACAATTCCAGAGGTTCCATGATTTTCTTCTGGACGTGCAGGTTCGAGCAACCTGGAAAGGGGATCAGGCTCCCTGGAGAGACTGCCAATGTTCCCAGCCACGCAGGAAAAGACTCTTGTGGCAAAACTCCTTTAAAGAAATGCTTTATTGCTGCAATTAGACACCCCCATGAATAGCACAAACAACCCCTCTGTACAGAGAATTATTCAGGGGGTAATACTGAGAAACAGTGAACATATGCAAAAGGATATAAAACTAGACATTTAGAGAACTAGAAACTTTCTAAGAAAAACTTCAAATGTGAAGTGCCTTTTAGAAACTACACCACACATGCCAGTGTAAATTTGGTTTTTTATTAACAATCAACTTTCTATAAACATTGCATCTAAATAGATGATGAGCTGCACAACTTAATTATATCCAAAACAAAGACAAATCCTTTTATTTCCCTGTGTCTTGGTCATTTGGGGGCTAGAGATGGAAGCTGCATGTTGCAGATCAGATCCAGAAGGAAAGTATTTCGAAAGGCCAAATCCACAGCACAGTGGAGCTTGCTTTGCCCTCTGTTCTCAGTTCTCCTCCAGTCCTGCATCCAGCCTACCACCAGGAGCAGAAGCAGTTCCAACCCGTGCAGCCATTACCCAAAGCTCTTGAACTGACTTCTATGGCCTGGGGTCTGGGGGGTCTGTCACCAGGTTGGGTGCATCTGCAGACTTGGAAACTATGCCAGTAAGACTGAAAATAGTGGACTGAGGCACAAAAGGAAGCAACATTACAGGCCTGAAATAGGAAGAGACTCTTTACAAAGTTCCTACAAAATTCTTAAACTTGGGCACAAAAACCAAATTACTGCTGGCAGCCAAAGTCAGAAGCCCTTGAATTGTACTGTAAGTTTTGTTTTGTTTTGTTTTGTTTTTTGTGGGGCGGGGAGGAGTGCTGGCTGGAAGCACCTCTGAGGATGCTTCCCTCCCCACCCCAATGCCTGGCCCACAAGTAACAACCCTGCTAGTCCTGAGACCTGCAAGTTGATCCCACATTTCTATATGGTTCAAACAAGTACCATCCTCCCACTAAAGCAGATACAAATTGAGAGGAAACTGGGGAATAAATAACTCCCCAAAGAACCTAGCAGATAAGGGGACACAAGCTAAGCAAGGGAAGAAGTGGCAGGTCCAATGCTCCCACTAGATGGCAGCACAGCACCTTCCTAGAGCTTCAGGCTTCTGTTAGTGGGAGTAGAGTTAGAGTTGGGGCTAAGATGGGATCACAGGTATTCAATTAGAGGTTGCAAGAGAAAGACAAGGGGGAGCTGTGTGCCACTCCAAAAGGAATGGGCAAGGGATGAACTGTCCACAGGCAAAGGGCCTTTAGGAGCTTGGCCAGAGGTGGTGAGATAGTGCTAGGCCTTCAGAAAAGAAGTGAGAAGGCAACACGCACCGAAGGTTGGGTGTGAGGAGCAACACAACAATCACGGTTACAAAGGCACCTCTGCCATAGGAAGTGCCAGTCACAATGGGTGGGCTGCCCAGGGGCTATGCCCACCTAAGCACACTTTCCTCTCTACAGGAAGTGTGCTTTTCAAGTTCAGCATAAAGGGTTCCATAGAAGGGAGCGAGGAAGGAGGCCCACTTAAAAACCTACCTAGTCTTAACATGACCATTCACACTCATCTGCAGTCAAAGGGCAGCAGAGACACAGGACCTTGCCTGGGCAGTTCCTAAGGGGCATAGGCAGAGCCGACCCAAGATTTAGCTCCCCTGAGCGGACAGTCTGTAGCTGCATGGTGTCCCCAGGCTGAGAAGGGGTGTGGGTAATTGCACTTTGGGGCACAGTGAACACAGCCACGGGCTGGAGGTGGCCTGGGAGACGGCGAGAGGGCAGGCTGGCCTATCTTCAGGGGTCAGCTTGTGGCTGGTCAGCACCTGTCTATCCAGAGGAAGGTAAGGGCAGCACAGCTCTTCAGACTTGGCCCCAAAATCCTATACCTCAGATTCTGAGTGGAAGGAGATGGCAGGGCAGAGCCTGCTAACCATAAGCCCTCCCCCAGAGTTTTAGAGACTCTTCAAATCTTCTCCTGACTTTCAAAACAAAATCACAGGCTTCCGCTCTGAAAGGCAAAGAAATTATCTTGTATTTGCTTCACCGTCTTAATAGGATGGATGAGGCATCTAAGTCTCAGAGAACTGAGGACAGGACCTCCAGACATCCCCCTCCCTAAAAAGGCTCTGCAGATGTGGAGTCACCTGGAGAGTAAGTAACTAGAAATACTCACATTAATTGCAGACCACCCTGCTGGCCTCCTTCCCTCAAGTTGCCTCTTATTTGCCTGGCATGATGAAAGTGGTTTGTAAAAACAGAATTCTAAGCAGACTTTTTGCAGGGACAAAGGCCATTTGATTGTAGTGATTTTGGTTCTGGTTGTTTTATGAAAATGATCCAGGAGCTAATCCCTGATGACAGAATGGACTGACTGCAGGGCAAGGGGCCCAGAAAGGATCCTCTGTTCAGTCCAGTTAAGGCGAGTAATAGGTGGGGGTGTGGACGGGGGCAATGACACAGTGGACCGTGGCAGTTTGCTGCTCACTCCTGGCCTTTGTTCCAGAGCCAGCCTGTATGCGTCTGCCCTGGCCAATGATCCACAGAACCTCCCAGAAGTGGAAGCTGGCCAAGATGGCAAGCAGCCTCGAGCACCTGCTGTGTACACACCCTAGCTCTTTCAGTATGAAGCCAAGGCAAACTGGAGAGGTTTGTCTGTAAAGGAATAGTTTTCAAATATTCCATTTTGTCCTAATTATTCACTTTCTTCCCTTTTGTGTAGATCTCATAAACCCTTCTTTTTCAGGGTTGATGAGAAAGAAACATTGGGGGCAGGCCTATAACATAAAGACTTGTCATAAAATGGGCTCGACTATAGGAATTATGAGCCAATGGCCACTTAGCATCCATTAATTCCCATGAAATGTTGAAAGAAACCTCAGACCTGTTTGTCCTGCTTTATAGTCACACATCTCTTGTATCAACAGAATAGATATGGTTCTCAGAACATATAAGGCAAAAAGGGTTTTAGATCTATAAGGTAGAAGACATAATCAGGGTAACAAAGAGGTTTCTAAATGATATATACTCTGTTAAGTGTCAATTCCACTGGACACTCATAGTACAAAATAATTCTCTTTTCGTAAAGTGCTGCTTGCTTAGTGAATCACTTCGCCACCACACACAGAGCACCACGTCCTGCCTGCTTGGGAGAAATATCAGTGGCATCAGCAGAGGGCGCTTACCTCCCCTGAGGGGAAATTTCTCATGGTGGCTAGACATCCCCAAACACTGCTCCATGGGAGGCACTGCTGCCACCGGGAACAGGCTGCACACAAAGGACTGGGTACTACCCTGCTCTCGCTCTTCCTTTAAGTCTGGCATTTTATTCTCTCATTCTGTTCAAGACCATGGGCCAGAACCCAGCCAGCTCCGTATTATGATGCCATGGGATCTTCCTTCTTCCCTTCCCATAGACATGCTGGCAGAAGTGGAAGCCAGCTACGAACAGCCAATGTGAGGGCTTTCCAGGAGGTTCACTAAGGAGGATCTAGAAAAAAAGAAGCCATTAAAAATAGTCACCTGCCCAATTGATGCCGTCAAAGGACAGAAAAGGTACACAACTGGCAGTAAACAATTTCCTTCAACTGTTCATGGATGTCCGGGAAAGCTACACCCTCCACACAATCAGACATGAACAATCTCTGCTCCAGTGTCTTCAGGTTCTGTGCAACAAGAAGAGTTTGTGTCCGAATGACAGAGTCCACGTCCGTCTTTATTTTCAAAGTTGAACTCTGTTAGTGCAGATTTTTCAAAAATATTCTTTTTGCTTGTTTCTGGACAGTTTTGGACATAGATTACTCTGTTATAAGCTTTGAGTCTCTTCCATAATTGTACGTATACTCTGCACTGAACGTACATGAAAAGAAGTCCTCCAGTAAAGCCAATGGCCACAACCACCAATTTAGTCCAAAAGGGCCACTCTAGGATTCCTGGAGGGGAATAAACATGGTTAGCCTGTCAGTAGATCCTTTTAAGATCTGAAATAAAATACAACTTCTGAACTTTCCATTACCAATGGCTTCTTAACCCATCAAATCTAGTTTTATAAAAGGAGGGTGGCAAGTGTTGTCCACTACCTTTTCTGGGAGGCAATTCATAGAGATATGCATTTTCCATGCTTTGACTTCTTCTAGCTGGATTTTAAAAACCATGCTTTAGCAAGAGAAACATCTAAAAAGGAGGCTTGGTACCTCATTAATGAAACCCAGACTTTTGAGGTCTGACTTGAAAGCCATCAGGAACAACTCTCCCATCCCAAGACCCAAGCATGTTATCCAGCACCCCCATGCTGAGCTCACCTTTTGTTCTGAGCACATACCTGTCACTTGCCCCTGCTTGATCTCCTCAGCCGTGCGGTCAATGAGCACATACAAGGACCAGACCACACAGGTGATGGCGATGACATGAAATGTTACTGAGCACATGATCTTCCTGCGCTCACTGGCTGTCATCTGCAACTTCTCCCACTGGAAAGACAACATGCTGAATGTGAGGCTCAGGCCCACAGACGCTCAGGGCTACAATGGGGAAGAAAGTATTGTGGATGGGAGCAAATAGCTTTCCTCCCCCTCCCACTTTCCCGAACTAGATGATTTCCCAATACCCAAAGTCGATCTTTTTAAACCATTTGGTTTCAACCAGGTACCAGGCACTGGTACTCTGTTGACAGCCAACTCTCTATGCAATGAAAAGCAGCTGGAACTGAAATGAGTTATGATCCACCTCATCTGCTTATTCTTGCAAGCAGACATTAAATGGCTTGATAAAGGATTCTATGGTTTCAATCCTGATGAAAACAGCATGTTGACCCAAGACCCAAGCAGCACATTTTAAGTCTCCCTGACTTGCTGACTGGCATGAGCGAGGGGAAGAAGAAGGTTGATGACGCCACAACACACTAGCAGATGGGTCACACTACATTGTGAAGGTGATGGCGGAAGGCGCTCACTCTTTGGTCCTCTGCTACTTTGGCAGCAACAGCTTGAAATCGATGCTAAGAGTTCCTGGTTCAAGCAGTCTCTGCCAGGCCCATCTCCTCTAGGAGCTCATTAATTTACTCCAAATAGCCAGATTTTCTTTTTCATTTACTGGTTTCCGAATCAGAAGAAAACACATAAAGATAGAGAAAAAGAACAAAGTGTAAACACTCTGCATATCCTCTGCCAGCCCTAGTCACAGCCTCTTTCCAGATGCTTCTATATAGGATAGGCTGAAAGTAGAGTCTCACCGATCTAAGTAGTTGAAGTGCCATAAGATTCACATGAGATCAGATTAGTAGGCACCTAATTAATTACAAAGTAGAACATTTTTTAAAGAGTTAGCACCTGCCTCCTCTAACATCTAGATTGCTTGCTGCTGTGATTTCATAAAATAGCTTTCATTTTGCTTCCTTCCTAATATGTTCTCCTGCTCCTTGATTTCCTAGTATTTCCCAAAACACACTCAGCCCAAGCCTTTCAAATATCCCTCAAATGCTCACCCTCAGCCTTTTGGTATATGCTTTTCTCCACATACAACCTGACCTCATTCTACTTCCAAGTCTTAATCCATCAAGAACTACTTCAAACCCCAGACATCCCATGGTGCTACCACCACTCTGCTTCTCTAGCACTCTAGTGCACAATAAGCATTTCCCTTTCTGAAATTCTCATATGCTCCACCACCACATAATGTGGCATTTAAGTGGCATTGCTATTACCTGATGTGCTGTTACTATCTCATAATGATTTCCCCTTGAAATTTACACATTAAAGTTTTGCGATAAGTGCAAGTCCAAAGAAAACCTATGTGCTGGGCACACAGACAGACACATTTAACAGTCACATTTACGCAGGGGGCGATTTCGAGGCCAAGCTCCTCTTCAAGGCAGCAGCCACATGGAGCCTGATGAAGGCTGTGTTGTATATCATACCTGTGTTCCTTTCTTTTCATTTCTGTTCCCCACCCTCCCACCCAGCAAATACTTATCATAAGCACCTACAGATAAATTGACTATGTTACCCTGTGCTTTGTGCTGGGGAGAGATCTCTAACATGCTCCTAACAGAGGCAAGACATGAACAGTTAATACATAGAAAGTTAAATGCAGACCAACATGTCACAAAGCAGTCTGTGATCAAGAGCCAGAAAACTGACACAAACAAATAAGCAGTCTTAGTTTGAAGGAAAAAGAAAAGAAAACATTATGATTGAATGGTCAGAAAGAGCTTCATCCTGAGGGGAGAGAATTGGAAGCAGTACCAGAAACAATGATCTCCACAGCACGCATATACCCACCAGCCCCCACTTCCTAAAGAAGTGAACTGAGCAAGCCCAGCTTCAGCCATCCAGGGTGCTGACTCTTCCCAAGGGCACTCATTTCAGTGAGCCAAAAGCACCTCCAAGGGGTGTTCTTACACGTACTTTTCTCAAAGGCTTTAGCTTGGTCTCCATGATGAACTCGTACTTGCAGAGCTCGCAGCAACGTGTGTCGGAGCTCTTGATCCACTGCTGCAGGCAGGCCTGGTGCACGAAGTGGAGGCTCCCGGTGCAGTGACAGGGTGTGATCAGAGGGCTCTCGTCATCCCCTTCACAGTGACAGATCCTATGATGGAAGGAAAGCCAGTCATTGGGAGGAGGGCCACACGACAGGGAAGATGACACTTCAGTGGAAGGTCAATCCCCCCAAAGAAAACTTTCAGAAACAAACATCACAGAAGTGACTACAAGCACAAATACGTACAAACACAAATGCGAACAATGACTACAAACTAAACATTTCTAGCTTACCGCACCAACATGGAAAGTCTGGATAGCATTTGGCATCAGAGGGGAAAAAATAATATAAGAAATGACAAAGCAGTCATTTTGGTAAGACTTAAGAACTTCACTGAATGACAATTTAAGGCAACATGAAGCATCTTCCAGAACATAAGATGCTAAAACACTTAGAGGAGAAATTTCTGTGTAAAACAAAACCAGCATTCTACCTCCACAAAATACCAGTGATTTAAAGAGGTGATGAGATGTGCTTTTTAGCTATAATCACCAACCTCACACACAGTTACACATGTCTGTCCCCTCTTGGGGAATAAATAGAAGTCATAGTACCTAAAATCCTGGACCTAGAAATACAATTATAACCTGCTACAATTTCATTTCCTTTTTCACAATCACTCACTGTAGTAACTGGGGATTTTAAATCATTCATCATTCCAAGTGTGCATGCAGCAGGATGTAGTTACTAACCTCAAGGAACTTAATAGACTTTTGAGAAACAGAGGGGTCTTTTCCAGCAGCTGGAGAGCAGGGATGGATACCTGGCCTGAAAGGAGCTGGGTTCTGACCCTGGTCAGGCTCTCAGCTGTTTGTTTCTGTAACAGGGATTTCTGGTCCAATTGTCAGAAACCACAACAGCAGGCCCTAAAGAGGGGCAACTGGGAAAGGTAACATAAGAGTTGTCATAAAAACTGAATTCCAAAAGATTTGGAAGGCCAGACAAGGATGTTGCATACCAGAAGAAAAAGATGAGAAGTGGAGTTAGGAGTGGGGTTAGAGGTGGCTCTCTCCCAGTTAAAAAGGCGGGGAGGAGGAGCTGCTGAAGAACAGCCTCTCCCCATGCACCTCATGCTGCAGGTAGAGCCGGGGTAAAAATGAGGCCAGGAGGGACAGACAATATGTAAATCTAGACCATCAAGCTAGAAACATGGAGAGATTGTTTCTTTCAATTTCTTTATGCAAAGTCTACATATTTCTAGTTGAGAAGAGTCTGCTAGAACTTTAACATGTGTAGCCCCTCCGTTTTATCATCTGTGAAACTATCTTGGGACTCATTATCATATAATTTGGCTTCATAAATGATATCAATGGATTCTGCTGTAGAAAACTATTAACCCATAATTGTTTACAAGTGCCCATCACTTAATTTTCCTGAAACTTCACATATTTAAAGTAAGATGAGGTTGTGGAGGTGAGGGCAGCAGAGATGGCAGAATGGTGGTTCTTAGAAAACCAACCTGCAGGCATCCCCTGAGGTAGACACAGGAGAGATGGGGGGACATTTTTCAGAGAGAGAAGGACAATCCAGGTCACTGTCCTTCTCCACTGAGCAGAGGGGCGCCCGCAGGACCTTGCTCTTTGATTTTGCAGATGTGCTGTCCTCAAAGACGTCGTCATCTCCCATTTCCTCAGAGCAGAAACCCGTGCTCCCTGCCAGCCCACTGGAGGACTCGGCCGTGTGCAGGTGAGCAGCACAGCTCTCCAGCTCGTGAAACCTGTGCAGGCTGCTAGCACTTGAGCCATGCGAGAGCGAGAACAGGTACCGAAGCAGTCGCTGGCTTCTGGACAAGGCCTCGCCATCCACTTTCTCTTCCAAAAGTGGGACACGCATGGCCCCCTTGCCAACTTCCACCTCTGAGGCAACTGAATGATTGGCAGAAAGGGATGAAACACAAGAAAGTTTGGAACTGCCAAAAGGTTTGCAATTCAGTATTCTTTTATCTTTATGGTGAAACCTGTTAATTCTGAGGCATGGATCTTGAGGGAGTATCAATTTTCCTTCTGAGCAAGTTCTTTCCACGTAGTCAAAACTTCCCAAAGTGTCCAGGGCCTTCTCACCCACATCATTTAGGGATTTTGAGAACTTCAGTGTTCTTCTGGCTTTGGTATGCTTAGTAGGCTTCAAGGCCTGGGCCCATTCTGAACCACAGGAATTTCTCTTTGGCGCCTGTAATGCGTCTTTACAGATTACTGTCACAGTGAGCCCTTGGGTCAGGGAACTCTGGCACTGAGGAGTTTTCAAGACAACAGCAGACTGCACAGGACTGTGGTGACAACACTCAGAAAACACTGCACTGGAACTGCATGCAGAGAACAGTGGGATAAAAGCACAGAAAGTAAAAACCATTTTGAGAAAATGGACATCAAAGTGAAGAAATGAAATTCGTGTGGTAACTTGATAAGCAAACAGCACATAAAACTTGGGCCAACTGTTTACAGCAACATTATATTGGCCAAGCAAATAGGAGATCAAGAACCTACAGACACTAATGCCTATTTCCAGGAAGCACATGAACCATCGTAGCATCTGAAGCGGCATGTTACCTGCAGATGTCCTGATTGGATGGCGTGACAGAAGTGCGAGAGAAGGCAGACACTGGAGCCGAAGCCAACGGAGGACCCCCAGCCTGCAATGATACACCTCCAGTCAGTTTTCAGGGAAGGGTCAAGAGGACCATGAACAACTTCTCCTTCTGAATGGCAATGGGAAGAGAATCTAAAACGGTCTGATTCAGTACATACACCTATAGTACCCTATGAGCCAAAGCAAAGCCAATCTAACAGCATCTTCTTTTCTTATATGTGGTTAAAAGCAAAGCCAAAATATATTTTGAGTCTGGAAACGCACCACCTATCTCCTGCAGATTCAGTGGTCATTTGTGTCTCAAGCATCTAAATTTAAATAGTTCATACATTAAGTCCAGAAACCAAGTACCATGGAATTTATAAAAAGCCAAAGTAATGTGAGGTACCAGTCCCTGTCAGCATCTGCTACCCTCACCCACAGCTCTTTAAAAATAGTTCCTGGGGTAATCCTAATCAAGGTTGGCAGACTCTGAGCACTCTCTCCTACCTCACAACCTCATGGTTGGGTCCATGAAAACTCACAACCTTGCTAGAACTCTTTATACACAAGGGAGAAGACCTTACCCAGTCACCAACCTGTGGCTCCATCCTGGGTCCAGGAGGAGTGTTCCCAAGAGTTCTAAATTGGGATTGTGAATCCAGAAAAATAATCAAGCCAAGTTATATTTGAAAGAATATGTAGCAAGAGGTCATGAGTATGAGCAGGGGCTCTGAGGCTGGTGAACAAGTCAAAATCAGAGAAAAGATGTAGGAGGGTAAGGAAGCATCACAGTGGGAAGAGAAGTGGATGGAGAGAAACAGGGACAGGCAGCAGAGCCTGGCTGAGGATATAAAAACTGCTATTAGAGGGTTCCCCAGCTGCCCACCCCACCAGCCTGGGGGGGGGGGGCTTATCCAGACTCAAATTCCTGAATATTCATGGCCTAGAAGCCCCGTGCATATTCATATAAATGTGTTCAACCCTCCTTAGGACAGTCAGCCTGACTGAGCTTCTGTTCCATGCAATCTAGACAGCCACATGGAAACAGTGCTGAGTCTGTTATCACGAGCAAGTCCACATCACCTTCCCACCCTCGCCACACTCACTCAAATGGCCCTTTAGCCTTGATGCTTGATTCAGAGGAGTCCTACTCCCACCCACAATTCCCTAGCTGAAGTCCAGCGTCTACTCTTGCTAAGTGCCTCTCCTGGGGAACACCCTCATCCTGGCACTCCAGCTATTAGACCCCTGAAAGAAGTCAGCAACCAGGACAGGCAGTACCACTGTCAGAAACTCCCCTGCTCCCCTTCTCCAGGACCAGCATTCTGATTGGGGTGCTCACTGGACCACTAATATGGCTCCCCAGGTACAGGGATTAAATATCATTTTAAGTTCAACTCAACCTATAGAAACCTGGTCCAGGAAGTTACATGTTTTCATGCCACATATATGTGCTGAAGTTATTCAGCATTACTCAGTACATCTCTGGGTCTCAAAAAAAAAAAAAAAACATGCATTTTCTAACTGAACGTACATAGGAGCACTGAATCTATTTTCTTTAGAAGTATTATTAGTCAAAGTTCTTAAAGATCCACAAATTAACTTATTTGGAGTCACAAAAATGACATCCGCAAACATCTGTCGCACTTTGTTGTAATTCCTAAAACAAACTGAGGGAGGTTTGGGACATGTAGATGTTCCACTATTATGTTCCCACTGCAGGAATCACCCTCCTCTGCCCTCTTCTGTGCCCTGCTCCTGGGAGATACCACAGGCTCCACCCAGGGGCTTCTCTGCCTCAGCCCAGGCAGAGAAGAGGCACAGGCACAATGTCGAGACGCCTGAGATGAGCACACAGGGCCGTGCTGCAGAGAGGATTCACACAAAGGCCCCAGCTTCTACAATCTGTCCATTCTCTGTCTGCACTGATTCCACTCAGAGACTGAACACCTCCCAGGGCTCTCTGTTCTCTTCTTGTACAACTAAGGGTGAACAGCTCTGCTCGCTGTCTATAAGCAAAGCCAGAAATATATCACGAAGGCTTCAAGCTGATCATGGTAGGTTGCAGAGAAGTAGGAGCCGCCGCCCCTCCCCAAGTGAGCTTGGATAAAGGGAAGACAGGAATGTCCGGCCATATTCACTTCCTTGTCCCCTCTAGGTCTGAGGTCAGTTCTTCTTCCTCTATGTTGCTGGGTCAAGTGTGGTCACTGGAACTGAGTTACAGCAGAAGAAAGCCCATCCCCATACAAGGGATGAAGACTGTACTTACTGCTCACCAGGGAGAGAAAGGGAATTATCTAGTTATCCCCTTCCTTGTTACCTTAGTAATAAATACATGATCCTCTGGAAACCATACAAATGTTCCTGCATTCTAAAGGGAAGGAATATCCTGTGCAAGGAAAGTGGGGTCCCATCTGGAGAATGAGCCCAGCACCCCGCCAAGGTCAGTGTCCTTGGAAGAGGCAGGTCTCAGTCAGGGAGCCCAAGTCAAGATAACATCCATGCCTCAACAAGTCTCTCACTGTTCTCAACTTCAAGTCCTGTCAAAGAGGAAAGTCTGGTTATCAATCATCACATACCTATCCAAGATGGGGGTCAGGCTCCGAAGTAGGAGGGAAGAGCCTCCTAGAGCATCAACAAAACAGTCAGTACACACACACACACACACACACACACACACACACACAGACACAGACACACACGCCTGCGCGCACGCGCAACAGGACCTGTAATCACTTAGCCATCAATTTCCCATCAGCATATCACCAGGAACTCACAGGGGTCTGTCTATACTTGCAGCAGAGCATCAAGCCTGTGAGAGACAGCAGCCGCAGTCCCAAGCCATTACGGAATTTGAAACAGGCTTAGGAAACAGAATGGTCCCAGCACCCTTTATCTATATTCCTACCCTCATTTAATCCTCTCCAATCTCACAAAAAAAAACATGCAGCAGCTAATATCCCAGTAACAGAAAAAAAGTCTCTTGTTATTAGACCACCAGGCATTGAGAGAATGTCAAAAAACTGCTTTCTGGTGTTTAATGTAAATACAAAGCAACAAATGCCTTATTGTGGCTGGCTCCTCAGTAAGAGCGAGACAGTGAGCAAGATTCATGGGCATAGGATTCAGTTCGCATAGGCGACTCCTCTCACTGGTGAAAGAGGAACAATGTGTTCTGAAGAATAGTCTACGTGCAAAATGATCCCGAAAGCACTGGCTGCCATATCAAGCAGAGTAAAATCTATCAACACACCCTTGAGAACTTAAAAGACTGACTGATCAACAACACAATGAAGCCCACAGCTTCATATATGGTCCAACTGGGAGTCAAGGGCCCTGCACCACTGCTTTCAGAAGCTGGGCACTGACAACTCTTCTCCAGCCTCAGGGGAATAAGTGGGAGACTATGAGGTACCAGCCTCTGTTCGACAGAGAATACCCTCTCCCCTTGACAAGGTTTAGATCACACAGGTCTCAACGGTTACTAATAAAAGACATAAATGTTCATAATGAGAAAATTCAAATTTGTCAAGAAAATTCAAGCTTTTTTTGTTCCTGAGGTTGGTTCTGTGTTGGTTCCAAACAAGACACTTTCAAGTCATGAAAAGGAATGTAAAGCCATCTCACCACAAAAAAATTTTCATAAAAATCCCCTCTTGTTAAGATGTTGTAATCAATTATGCCAAAATAAACGTCCTGATGCTGTCTAGGCCTAAATCCCACTTGCTTTTTTATTTCTTAAGAATGACAAATACATTTAGACAATTTGTTTTCTGCTGTACTCAAGTCACTTAAGTGGCTGTCTTTCCCTTCAGACTCATTGCTTTAAGTAATTTTATCAAGGCTGCCAAAAGCATAAGGAAAACAAAAACTTTCCAAATATCCTTGGTAGAAGTTGGCATTCCCCCTTTTTTGGCTTCCTTTTGAGAGAACTTGCTGTTGTTGGAAGGGCTATTCTGACACTAATGACAGTTGCCTTCTTGGTCCCCAGCAGAACTTACAATTTTACCTGGGAGGGACTCTCACTGCAGGATGCCAGCCCAGCTGCTTTCAGCTTCACTGCTTTCACCTGCCCCTTCCAACAGGTTTCTTCCCAACCGCCCTTTCACTACTGTTGCAAACTACCATAGGGTCTTCTTTTCGTTTACCAACAAAGCTATTTTTAAACTATTGGGAACTTAGGGCCCTAACAAAAGGGAATTTTTCTATCTAATTTATATCAACAGGTATAGGGACACAAGAAATATAGTCTGGTTGGGCTCATCTGTTTTTAAGCCATGAGGAATTGAAGAACTGGAAAAGGAGAGTAAGAGGCAAGTAGTATTCATGTTTACACAACTGATCTCATGTTATAGTATATCAAAACAATGACAATAGAAAAAAAGGGGAAGGAATACACATGGCCCTTAAAACACGAAAAGATGCTAAGTCTCTCTCACAATAATAAAAAAATACACATTGTAGAAATACAAATTAAAAACTACATGAGCTATATACCATCCTCGACAAAAAAAGTTTTCGTTTTTATTAACCAAATAATACCTATGCTGGTAAATGTCTGAGAAATAGGCTTGCTAAAAACATTGCTGGTGGAAAAGCAAATTACTGAACCTCTATAAGACAGCAATTTAGCAACTTCTCTCAAAACCACAAATGCACACACACTCTGTCTCTTCTTTTTTTTAGCAATTCATCCTTACACACACACAAAGAGATTGGACAATATTGTAATGGCAAAGTCTGTCAGCATGTAGTTGATTGAGTCAATACTGATGCATCAATACAAAGAAACACCAAGTAGTCATTAAAAGAAAGTTCATCATGTCCAGTAATGGGGGCACGGAGAGAACAGGCAGTGCCAGACTGTGTACACCAGACTGGACTGCTTGTGAGTGGACTGGGGTGCCTTCCAGAGCTCCCAAAAGTGATCTCTTCTGAAACATGGAAAGATACCAGGAAACCTGGGCTGCTGGACACCAACTTCTCATAGAAACCCTTCCCAACCAATAAGGGACCAGGAAAATATAAGGGACCAGGAAAATGAATAACTATAAGAAAGTG